AAAGTCACGTACAAAAACAACTTTTTTAAACCCAAGTCATGATCTTTTCCTAAAGTATCTTTGTATAGATTCATAATGTTAATCACATATTGAAGTGTATCTGACAAACCTGCATATTAATATATGACACTAAAGGGGTCCTGAGCAAGCATCTGTATGTCACGAGGTTGGAGGAAAATGTGTTCAAGCAAACAAGTTAATATAACATTTCCATACATGAAACGAGGTAAATCATGTTTTGCTTTAAAAAATATATTACTTAAATGTTTAATTTATAATCCAAATAGTACTGACGCGTTCTGCTGCAGCAGATCGACAAATGAAACATGATATCCATATATATTCTATTTTAATGTAGGCTTCCTAACTTGTGTTTAAATGAATGCAAACTGTTTTAACATGTAGTTTCATATAATAAAAACACAGGTGGAAAAGGACTCAAATTTAGATCAAGAGCAATCAGAGGCTCCTTATGACCTCATAGCTTGTTCCTGGAAAGTTGAAATGTGAAATCTACACACACACACACACACACACACACACACACACACACACACACACACACACACACACACACACACACACACACACACACATTTGTTACTTCACAACATGAGTAATACAAACATGCGCATACACACACACATTTGTTGCTGTAGTGCAATGAAAGTTCAGGTCCTCCCTAAACTGGAAGCTCATTAGAGTTCACCTGTGAAATAGATGAGCCTCTTTCACACCAGGGAGTGACTGAGTGGTGGTGAGTACATACATATACAGTCAGCAGGCTAACAGACAAACTAAGCCCCCAAATGTCTCTATATATGTTAAGGGAAATACAATGAAGGGATTTGCAGTTCAATCCATCAACAATTCTATTTTAATGTATTGTATTTTTTAACATTTTCTACACTTGCACACTATATGTACTATAAACAGCAAATATTGCAGGTGTGTGATCCTCACCAGCTCCACACTGAGGGCAGTATTGACTCCCCCTGCCTTCTGGAAAGCCCAGGGGAAGTTGAGCAGTCCGGCACCCAGCGCAGACTTCAGCATGATGAACACAGCACCGAATGAACCGAGCCGCGGGGGGCCCGAATGAGACGCAGAGCGGGCCAGCAGGTTGATGCTCTCTCGGGCCAGTTCCTCCATGATCCTGAGCGAAGCTTTAACCCTATATAACTGATACTTCTCAAGAACGATTTCTGACAAAACTAACCCTTCTAGAGTAGTCCAGGTGTCCGCTTCATCCTTCTGAGAGTTTGAACCTGCTGAGAGGGAAACCCTGCAGATATATAGCCTGCACCCACGAGCACACGCGACTCACATGGTCTAATTGGACTACTAAACATTTCACTCTGAGGTGACACATATATCACTAAAGTGAGTATGTTTGCTTGTGTTTTCTCTGTCTCTCTCCATGGCTCTCTCTTTTAAGTTGTGTCTGTCTCTGAAGAAGAAGCCTATAGATAAAGGTAATTGTGTTGTTTTTTTATGATTACTTTTGATTTGTTTTCTCATTTTGTCCATACAAGTACTGTGTTCAAAATACACATTGTTTTTCCTACAAATAAACCCATCAAAGTGGACCTCCTCTAAATAAAACCATGAATGAACTTTATAAAATCATAAGAATTCAAGAAATTAGTCAAGAAAGTATTGCTGGCTTAACTTGCAAGGGGCTCCATGGCAAAAATATGCTGCATAAAAAGGGAAAATACAGGTGGGGGGTTTCTGTCCCTGCAAATACAGGCACCTGCACACACTTCTACTACTACTACTTCTTCTACTGCACATAATGGGTCAAGACTGATGATTGAGAAGGATTACTTTGCATACAGTCTATATATTGTAATTTTTTTACTCCGGGAAATCCTGCACAGTTTCATTAAGAGGTAAACTCGCATGACTCGAATGTCCTCCATTTACTCAACTTTGTTGTCAATCTGATTGTAATCACCAAAGAGATTGGCCACTATTTACTTTTCATTTATTTATCTTATATATCACGTTTTTGTATTAACAGAATCATGAATGTAGATTTGGTGTGCAGTGCGGCTTACACTGTTGTAGCATGAGGAGTTTAAACAAAGTTCCGGTCATATGGAACAATCTACTACACATGTAATTCATTATCCCGTTCATGATTCTTGCTACACACCATCTGCACAGGGCAGAGGGCATCGGTCACATTCATGAACATTGCTCTACATCAGGAGGAACTTTCCAAAGAAAAATAAACTTTAACTTTTTGAACAGCTGTTCCCAAAATGTGAGGGCTTTGAGGCACCTTAAAAACGATGTCATGGTGATTTTGCAGATTTTCTTAAATGTAATGCAGGACAGGGAGATATTAGAGAGAGCAGAAGTGTTATGGGGACAGTCCAAAGTTGTTATTGTATACCATAGGCATGTGCTGTTCCCAAAAATATCTCAGGACTTTAGTTTTTATAAAGCATTTTCCATTTTAAATTATATTACATGTATAATTGATATTGTTGTTCATAATCCATTTGTAAAAAAAAACTCCTGTTTAAAATATGCATAAAACCACTGCAAGAGTAAGACAGCTTTATATGAATCCTCTCTGTCCACGGTGACCTGCCACGCTTTGTCGTCATGACCAAATCAGGGTTATAATCTGGTTTTTATGCCTGTTAGCAAAAAATATATACAGAGTCTGAGACCTTAGTTTAAACACGCAGTCTGATTATTCAGATTTAAAAATAATATAATCATGTACGTCATGCAAGTCTGTGCAAAATGCAACTGGAATCATAAGCTGGGAACTGTATGAAGCAGCATTATTTAAATAAGCCATTAAACCTGTGAACTTTGGGTTAAAGGTGCTGCATGGTTGCATTTAATCAGTGTGCCATGTGAATATATAGCAGAATATAAAGCAGGAGGTCCACTTGAGGTTTCAGTGACCGCTGCAATAACTCCTTAAATTCAGCATGCTGCAGTAATGAAGATACCACCTCTGACATTTAGATGTCATACTTGCTTATGTCATGTTTGAGTTCAACTTCATACAATGCTGACAAGGCAAAACACCACAAAACCAATCCTCATCACTTCTCATTTCCAGTGTTTGCGCTGCGTGCTCTGAGGACAATAAGACTGTTTTCAAGTGTTTCGAGGAGCAACCTGCTACACTGAGACGAATAAAGACAGATGAGATTAATCTACTCATGATTCTGCTGTTATGAAACAGCTTAAGAGAATTCAGATTACGCACACGCACACAAACATACACACATACAAACACACAAACACACACACACAACTGACACAAAACCCATGTCTTCAAGAAAAGAAAACAGTTGCGATGTAAGGAAAATAACTGCGTTGTGTATGTCAGAATATAGAACACCTTTAATTTAAGCGTTTGTTGGGTTGAAATCAGAGTGAAACAAAAAGGCATGTACCACTCTTTACTGCAGTGAAAAAAAGAAAAATGCAAATTAACAAAAACTGCAAATAATACAGTAAATACATTGCAGTCTGTGATTGCATTACAGCTCAGTATCAAATAAAAACAACAACATTAAATAACATTACAGCAACTGTTAATGTTATACGGATGAAACTTGGGTAATAAACTCCCTTTTTACATCACCGTTGTACAGTATGTCCTGTGTGTCTTTCTTTGTTATTCCCCCCCCCCCCATATAGAGGTCTTGAAGTAAACCTTACTGAATGCAGCTGTTCAGAATAGAAAAGCAACACACACCTGAAATAAGGAAAACCACTGAACAGGTCAAAGGAAATGACACAGTTTAAACAACTGACAATATTTTTGCAACATCATGTGCACACTGCAAAGGATGCCACCAAAGACAGTATTATTTTCTGATATTAAACAGGTCAGACAGGGGGATGAATTAAGCTGCACAATAACAAATGTTTGCACCCTGCAATAATACTCTGCTCTAGATCACACCTGATTGGATCACAATCTGAACACCTGGCGTCCCTTAAAATCTCCTTTGTCCTAAAAAATCAGGCTGTATTTCTGATGTACTGCAGAAGTGGTAGAAATAAAGGGTTTACAACCATTATTATGTCATAAATGTAACATAACTGAGATTAGTCTTTCAACTAAGTATTTTCAGTGAGTAGGATGTCCTCTTCTGCTTTCCCTAAATCAACGGTTTGTCACTCCAGGACCAGCCTATAAAATATGACCAAGCAATAATGTGAATTTAATCACAATCAATCATTTAAGTTGCAAGTATGCTTCATTTTAATATTTATGTCAGAATTAAATACACCTTTTGTCAGCTTTTTGGTCTGAGAGCAAAGCATGTGATAAATTCAACATATTGTTATTTATTCAATGCCTAAATAAATGCTCCACCTTTTCAGGTACAAAAAACTGAACCAGATATTTCGTTTGATCCAGTTATTGAACTCTGTTTAGATTACAGGGGGAGCAGGACGCTGACCACCAGCTGCCTTATTAAAGATAAGTTAAAGGAATACTTCACCAACAAAATGATAGTTTTAAAATCAATTACTCACCCAGTTTTACCTTGGATTCTGGAAGAAAGCTTTGTATTTCTCACAGTTCTCCGAGGTGAACACAGAATCCAAAAAACTGAGAAAACTTGACTTTTTGCAAAAATGATCAGGCTATTAAACACACTTCAGACTTGCACGTAACAGTAGCACGTCTGCACAAGCGTGAACATGTTTACGCCGAAGTGTTTGAAATAATGAGATTATAGCAATAATGCATGTGTTTGGAAAGTAGTGAGCATATGACAGGAAAAATGAACCTTCATTAAACTGCATGGGTTGTTTGAGGCTTTGTAAACAGATGTTTTGAAACAGTTCAGCCATTAACCATGGCCCGCATTCACTTCAATTCATCAAAATGTTTCTCAGTTTTTGTTTCATGCAAGAAACATATTGTTTTTTCCAAGAATTAAAAGTTCCAAGGGTGAGTCGTTTTTTAAACTACTTATCATTTTTTGTGTGAAGTATTCTTTTAACTAACTCCTGAGCAGCAGTAGCAAGGTGCTGCACACAGGGAACATCAGAGAGCTGAAGGGGGGGCTGTTCCTGTTGGTTTGCCCTTTCAGTGTTTCCTTGTTGGTCTGGTCGGAGGTGGGGGGGCTCGGGGCTGCAGGCACAGTGCTGGGTGGGAGGGTGGTGCGGCTGGCACACATGTCGTAGAGGTTTCCGGAGAACTGTGTCTTCCTGGACTCTTGTCTAAGAGACTCCCAGACGGCTGCTGCGTCTCCCGGGCAACCGGCCAGAGCTGAGTTGGCACACACATGGAACGCATTCCAGGACCTTCGAGGAACGAGGAGATCAGAGCAGATCAGAGCGGAAATGTGAAGACTGCAGGGTAACATGTACAATAAAACAGCACAAGTGGGTACCATTTGAGCAAACGTTTAAGAAATATGTAACACTTCTGAAGAGTTAACCCCTCACGGTGCTGTTAAATCTAGGCGTATCCGTTTGACACTTATGTATGTAAAAAGCACTATACATAATCAACAAGATTACTAAAAATGAAATGTTGAATGTAGCATTTTCAGACAGTATGTGTATACTTATTACGTGCAAGACTTTTGGGTGTGGTAAGAATAAAGCACGATTCAAACCACATCCAACAGAAACAAATTCGTTTTTAAGTTATAATGTAGCCCTTTGGCCCATGTTTATTTGACAACACCTGTGGTTCCTGGTGATAATGGTTTGTTTTATTAATACAGGCCCAAAGCAAAGCATGTTTTTAATAGAGATAATGAAAGGAAATGATGACACCAGACATGAAACCTGAGAAACATTTCCCCTAAACATAGTTTTGTACACAGTTTAGCTGTATCTAAATGTAATTTTGTAGGAGACAGAGTTGAGGTGTCGGCCATAAACCCAAATCAACACCCAGTAACCCTGTGAAGCGCTGTCAGCTGATAAATCTCTGTAAGTTTGTCACTGCAAAAACTCACAAACTCTGACAAACCATTTGGCTCTGTGAGGCTATACCATGCTATAACCTGAATGCTAACGTCAGCATGCTAACATTCTCTCACTGACAATGCTAACATGCTGACGTTATGCAGGTTGTTCGCCATATTAGCACATTTCAGTGAGAAACATAAAGATCAGCTGAAATATTTAATTGCAAAAGAGCCAATATTTGTTGAGACATTTCATTAATAGACTGGAGCAACTTTAATAGTAATAACTTCAACAATCTGAGACAAGTTGTTTCAAGACACACAGGGGATGGTTACCAAAGTGCTGGACAGATACACACCTGCAGATTGCATCGATGTCCTGTGTGTTTTGGTCTTTTTGTGTTTCCACCATACTGTCTCCAAGTGTAAGTAAACACTGAGCGAAACTCTTGTAGATGGAAGCACATGAAACTGGAATTGCCGCTCCAAAACTCACAGGGACCAGGCCTGGTGGAGAGAAGAAGAAGAAGAATAGGGAGGGATGAAACCCTCTTTAATGGTCACACATGCAGAGCACACAGCACACACAGTGACATTTGTTCTCTGCTTTTAACCCATCCTAGTACCAGGAGTCTAGTACCAGGGGCAGTGGGCAGCTATTGTACAGCGCCCAGGGAGCAATGGGGGAAGGGGGATGTCCAGTGCCTTGCTCAAGGGCACCACAGCAGGGCAGGAGGTGAACTGGGACCTCTCCAAGTAGAAGTCCACACTCCATATTTAGGTCTGGTCGGGGACTTGAACCGGCGACCCTACGGCTCACAGTCCAAGCTGTGTACTGTACTGACTGAGCCACTGCCGGACAATAGAAAATGAGTATACAAAAACAGATGTGTTTAGAGATGAGAGATTGTTTGGTTCAGGGATTTCATCTTGTGATGTGAAACACAATGTTTATGTTTATAGAGAAATGATCCATCTGGTGCTCAGACGGATCAAACAAATACAGAAATATGTTGATTTCCATTCATCTGGAGGGATTATACAACCTCAAAGCCAAATTCAGTGCAGGAGCAGTCTGATCGATCAGCACACGCTGAGACTAGTTTGAGTCATCACAATCTTCCTTAGAAAAGTTGTGAATCTATGTTTGAATTGATATGCAGAGGACATTTGAGCGTAACCTCACAGGAAGATATCTATTGATTGACACACTCACATCCACACTCTATGAGTTGACCAATTCATAATCTCTAGAATATGGAGATTTCCTGCTTTTCTCTGATTTATAATATTAAACTGAATATCTTGAAATTATGAACTTACAAAACAAGATCTTTTTGACCTTACATCAAACCAAGGATTTCGATTTCTTCATGAATCCTAAGCTATTGGCAAAGTCAGACATTAATTCATAGATATCACTAAATCTGTTCAGACCTTTATTCGTCAACAATACCTTTTATTTTTCTGTTGATCCAGCAACTGTGCCTTCCCAAAACGTTGCCACAAGGTAGAAACAATATATTCAAATATATCGCTGTGCGCTAAAGATTGAATATCTCTCCTAAGTGTCACTTGAGAGTCTGAAGCATCAGGTGTGTTATTTCATCCACTGAAGCTATGTTTAATTTTACCTTTTTTTCACCTTTGTTTTAGATTTACCAATAGCTGACCCCCGTCTACGGCTCAGGCAGATAATACTTTCATTATTCACGCCTGAATGAACATTAGTTATGTATTTTTTTATCTTGTTGTATTTGCCTGCTTTAATTTGTGTAAAGTGTGTCATGATTTCTAGTTTACTATTCATCCCACAATAATGTTCATCATGATTTTACTGCAAACATTTTGTTAGTCTTGCATTTTCCAAAGTCATTGATCCAAATTCTACAACCATAGTATCCATAGTATGTTTTTTCTACATAAGCCATCACATGTGTTTTACAACAAACTTCCTGAGAGTAAAAACCTCAAAATACCCAAAAAAATTACAGAATTCACACCTAAATATATGATTTTGTACACCAAATACACACACACACACACACACGCACACACACACACACACACACACACACACACACACACACACACACACACACACACACACACACACACACACACACACACACACACACACACACACACACACACACACACACACACACACACACACACACACACATACACGCACGCACAGAGGATGAGAGAGAATCAGTACATGAGGGACAGTGAGCATTTCATTAAGGTAAGTGCATTAGTAAACCCATCGCTTATCAATTTTAGAACAAGCTAAATAAATGAGTCTTTCTGTAAATACTTTGGGCTTTTTCTGACAAACCTGCTGAAATCCCTTCTACGCATTGGGGCACAAACAGACACATCATTGATATAGTATAAGTGCCCGATAAAAGACAGGCAAAAGCAAACTTAGCACTTTAAAACTTTTTTTTTACACATAAGAGCATTTAAAGAACCATCCTTACTGAGGCAGAGAGCGATGGGCAGCAGCATAGACGCCGTGCCTCGTTGGGACTTCTTCATCTTTCCTTCCACGAGTCCCGTGGAGCTGAGATCCACCTCTGATCCAGAGCCTCTGATGAGAAGCTCCCCAAAGTATCTGATTTAAAAAGGGACGAGTACTTCCATCTGTTCATAAATTATTAGATTTTAAAAGTAAAGCACAGAGCCACAACCAGACTGGATTAACAGTGAATGGGAACGCTGCATCACAGAGAGTAAGAGGATGCTGTGTGTGTGTGTGTGTGTGTGTGTGTGTGTGTGTGTGTGTGTGTGTGTGTGTGTGTGTGTGTGTGTGTGTGTGTGTGTGTGTGTGTGTGTGTGTGTGTGTGTGTGTGTGTGTGTGTGTGTGTGTGTGTGTGGGTGTGGGGAGGGGCACAAGGCGAGAGCTTGCAGGCAGCCGACCAATGACGGCATCCCTCACAGCACACTGGATTAAAGTGTTCTCATTTCCGGTCTTTAGTATTTAGAACATTTATTTGAAACACAAATGAATTATAAACTGTATTACCAATCGCTCATTTGTTAACACACATTTACCTGCTGCACAGATCTGACTGCACTATTGAAAAATGTGTTTGTCACAAATGACATTAACAGGGAACATGATCAGAAGTGTCAGCAGGATTTAGTGTTTCATGTGGACAGATGGAGGACGTCCCACAGAGGATAAGAGAATCCAGCTCACCTGGGAGTCCAACAGTCCAGAGCCACCTCTGAGAATAGCAGCATCCCAAGTGAGAGTCTCATCCACAGCTATGTGGGTCATGGGGGGGGTATTGAAGAGCATATGTTGTATCTATGTTATTCACTCTGAAAAAAAGATTGGGCAGATACTATTTATTGTCCTGTTTTTAAATAAAAATACACTTACCTTTTAACTAACTTGAGCGTCCATCTTATATCCCCCTCCTCCTCTTCTTCTCAGCCTCCAAATCCCCTGCTACGCCCCCCAGATGGCTTCCACGACGTGCATTAGTATAAGCCCCTGTTCACATCTGTACACTGACACAGGAGGAATGGTAACCCATTGTTAATCTGCGGTTTAAAACAACCATTAACTGCAGAATAATCCATCTGTATCTGAAGCCGCTGCCCAGAATCAATACCTCAAGTAGAGATTTTGGTATTACAGCTGAAAACATCTGCTTTTTGAACATTATTACCTTTTGCAGTGATGCTCAGGACCAATCAAGCCTGATGTGAAGTGTGTGGGAAATATACGTAGAGTTATTCATCACATTCTTTAAGATATTTCAGCCGTGAGGGCTTTTGTAGTTTGTGCATGTTGGTGATTATGGGCGTCCTGACTCCCCTGGCCTCCTAGTTTTGTGCAGTAGTTCACAACTGGGGGTTGCAAGGCCTTGTGAGTAAAATATGTTTGTATACAGTGTGTCTGTAACTTTGGATTTCATTTCATATAGATGATTATTTAAGATACATTTATATAAAAGGGAACTAAGCTCAATAGTACAGTAAAGGGAAATCATTACAAGTCAACCTAAATTCAATATTATTATCTTCAATCAAGTGAACACTATTTTCTTGAATTGTTTTAATAGTTTCTCGTAGCCAATAAAAGTTTTTTTAAATAATGTCCTCCTAATTAAGCTTTTTATTACCTATACAATAGCAAAAGAGAAGGTTTCATCAGCAGACAATCACTCAACTGAAAGAGTATTTAGAAAATAATTCTGCAGGTGTTCAGATAATTGGATATAGAACAGAGAAAAGCAGGAAATCTCCGTATTTGAGAGGCTATTCGGAGCATTTTCTGACATTTTGCATGAAAAATAGGCAAAACGACTAATTGGTCAAAATAGTCTGCATTTTTTGTTTCTGTCAATCCATCTAATAATGAGTTGACTAATCAATGCTGTTCCTACAAAAAGCAGACAAATATATTTTGGCCAGCAATATTAATTAAAGGGATTTGATGTAATGGCCACCGTTTGAGCAGGCACGGATATACTGCGTGTATAGTGTGGTGTCACACACTGGATTTTAGGGATTACATATTACACTTGTTTACTTAATTCACATTACACAATTACGCTCAAACGACAACTAAATCTGACACGAGAAGCTGTTGTTTGGCCTAAATGTAAAGACAGCTTGGTTAAATGGCAGCAGCCAAAGAAAAGAGAGACACAGTTGAGTAAATGTGATCGACAGCAATGGATTAAGGCATTATGCAACACTGTGGGGAGTAAAAAAAAAAGAAATCCAGATGAGATTAGGATCTGGATCCTCGCTCTGTCCGATGCTGTCTGTCTGTTCATTCATCCCTATTCCTCTCTCTCGGTTTCCTGCGACACACAGCACGGGTTCAAAGGACATGTTTTAAGTTTAGGTGAAGTAACTGTAGAATAGTTTTACAATCACATTAAGATGTTTCCTTTTTTAATATGAGTAACAATTAAGCAAAGGACCATCCAAGCCGTCGACACACAGACAGATGAAGCAAATTAGGCCATAGAGCGGCGCTAAACCTCCTGCTCCTCAGTTTAATGTCACCGCCATCTAGAGGGTGGAAATCACTCTGCAACATGTGACACATCTCACCACAAGACTCTACTGCAAGTCAGATCTGCTACAAAACTATGAAATGTCAAAACAATAACAATGGTTTATACCATACTCTGTAGTGGTACACTCGCTGAAATGATTATCTCAGATTATCAACACAATGATATCAGAAATCTTTTGAAACACAATGACTTTTTAAAGGATTTATGATGATGTTTTTTTGTTCAAGTTTGATTCCCTTCCCTTCATAAGTCTATGATGTGATTTAGGGTGTATCAAATATGATGAAAATGGTATGACTTCTTAACAGTGCTGAAAGTATTGTATTATAGTATAGTAAAATATTATTTTTGTATCTCTTCTTTCCTAAAAAGAGTCCAACAAGAGCTTCTAACAGGTGTCTGAGAGCTTAAACCTTCTCCACTTGAAGGTGAAAGCAAAACGGTGTTACTGGGATGATGCCTGGACAAAATCATGCCAAACTTAATGAAGTTGGAAATATTCAATGTGAATCAACGTTATTTTAAAATTAAATGTACTTCAAAAAAGGAGCAGAGCATATAGCTGTGAACTAAGTTCAAAAATCTGAAATGTAGGTAACATCCTGTGCATAATACACGTATGAAAGGACAAAGAAATGCAGCCACTAAACTCCTGCGTGAAAAACATCACACATGAATCACACTGACATAAGCAGGAGCTGCTTCACAGAATAACCTTGGGCGCAGACATTAACATGTTCAAGTTGCATAAACTATGTTGAGAAAATGTTTTTCTTTGTACTTCACTTCCTTAAAAACAAAACGTTGAGCAAATGTAACTTAATTCATGTCTTCAAGAAACATCATTTAATAAGATTACATTGTTTGAGTGCCTTCAAGTTTTAAAGAATCCCTTAAAGTCTGTTCCTTGATGATCAAATGTCTTATATCAACACATATCAAGGGAAAGCTAAGTTATCTTTAAAGGCAACTCAGATAAAATCATGGTAGACCTGTACTTCATTGACTAACACCTAAGTGTGCCAAGAATAGTGTTTCGTATACAGAAAATCCTATAGATGCGCAATCTTGGCATAGTTTACCTCTGCAAATCTACTGGATGTTTCTGCTACAAGCGCCTAATTCAAAATCTCAAGTAAGGAAATAAGAGAACTTTTAAAAAGAAAAACGTTCTACATAACTAGGCAGTTGAGAGCATCCTCATCAGTCACGTTACACATGTATAATCCTGCTCTCTTGTCAGTCTGTGCATACTATGATTCTTGTTTAATTGAATAAAATGTGTAATATTATTAATATATAAGCTAGCCTACATGAACTAGCCTGTCAACTTTTTCAACACAGGCCTACGAAAAGTTAGCTCTACTTCTCGAAAATAAATTGTCATCGCTCGTAGTTTTATACAAAATAGGGTTGGATCGGTGTCATATCCGTTAGTCTGTTTCTGTAACGGGTCCTCTCCGGTGATATGCACCCTTCAGATTTTCTTGCGGACGCTTAAGGTCACGGAGTTCCCGTAGAGCAGCCGGTCCCGCTCGCGCACCTCCTCCTGCAGCTTGGCCTCCGCGACCCGCAGCTGGCGGATGGTCGCCTTCATCTCCTTCATCTTCACCTCCATCAGCGCGATGATGTCCCGCTGCTCGTTCAGCTTCCGCAGCAGCTCGGCCGACGTGGTGCCGGTGGTCAGCGAGTACGAGTGGTCCAGCGGGCTGCTGGTCACACTCACGTACTGCACGATCGCCTGGTGCGACCCGGTTTCCGACATGTCGTCCCCGATGAACTCCTCGGTGATGGGCTCCGTGTAACATGTCCCCTCTGTCTGTGCGGGGAGCCGCGCCGTGCCCAGGTACTCCCCGTTCTGCCCTATCTGCACCACGGTGATGCTGCTGTCATCACTCGCCTCTCCTCCGGTGGTGCCCTCGGCTCCCTCCGCCGCCACACTGCCCAGCACACTGGAGATCAATATCCCGGAGTGGGCTGCGGCACCGGGTGCAGGAGCCCCCGCCGCTGACACCTTCCTGCCTCTGCCCCTCCGGCTCCTGCGCTCATTGACCCCCCGCAGAGGGAAGAGGGACGGCACTCTGATGGTGTAGGTCTTCCTCCCGCCGGCGAAGTGCACGCTGCAGACCCGGTGCCCGGTGGTGGGCTGGAAGGTGCTGAAGCAGCCGCTGACCCCGGCCCGGGAGATGTTCCGCAGCCACAGCTCCCTCAGCGTGCTGTCTTTGGGAAACGTGTAGAAGCGCAGGTCCCGGTCCCGGTGCGAGTTGTTGTAGCAGCCCGGGACACAGCACGTAAAACCGGGCATGTTTGCTTCAACACCGAGGCTTTAGAGCACGGTCGTCGGGGTGAAGTTTAGCTTATTTAATTGTTGTTTCTTTTTTCAATGCGTTGTAATGAAGCTCAGTGGCCTACAAGCGGAACTACACGTCCCACAACGCTAACAACTTCCTGTTTATTTTTCACCAAAAGTGAGCTGCTTTTCTTCTTACGACCGCTAAATCCACCGGTATTTATCCGGACTCGAAGCATGTAGAGCTTGTATTTATGATGAAATTGAGGCTGGTGTTTTATTTTCGGTGGTAAATGTCTCGTTTTGTTCTTCGCGGTGTTATCAAGCCAACCGTCCTCTGCTGAGAACTAAAAGTCCCAGAATTCCTTGCGCTCCCCCTGCAGGTCCGTTAGAAAACTAGCGCCCCTACTGGCCAGTGTGGGTAAAGCTTGTGGGTCAAATCAATTTACAGGTGATTTCCTTTACAAGTGAAAACGATCTGGACAGAAGATTAGTCTTAAATATTCTCATTGGTCAATTGTATAGCTATGATGCATTCAAAGGTGGTCTCAAATTAACCCTAATTTTCACCAGCTAAATCATTAAATTAAACTTTATTTTTAATTAAAAGGTCTGACAAATCAGAAAACCATCAGCATGGTCTATTTTTGTTCCTTTTATACCTGTTAATGGAAGATATAAATGATGGTGTTTTATAATTTAAATGATTCTTAAACAATAAGAGTAATATAATAAAAAAGAATGCCATCAAAGCTATGGATAATGTCTAAAACTAAAAGAGATGTTTACTCGTCTCTTCTTGTTCTTCTAAAATAAGTTAGTCGAAAAGGAATTCAGTTATCTTTATTTTTTACATGTATAAATCAATTTATTTATGCTAGTTATAATACAGGCACAAAGAACATGATGACCACATTATTTTGTTTCCGTGAATAATAATACTTTTAATAAAAATGTCCTCGTTCGTATATTAAACATTCGAAAAACAAATGGCAGTTTGCAATATTTTGCGTACATTTTTTGTATTGATTTACCAAACAGCATCATTTTAATCCATACGTCATGTTTCAAGTGTTATGTTATTGTCTTCTGAAACAGCAAATTGTAGAGCAAGAATTTCTGCATTTGGTAACCTTGTCAGCCACCTGATGGCCTTTTAGATCCTTTCTTTGTGTTTGACTCTTTCCTGACAACAGGGAACCTTTTTTATTGGATTTAAATACTTTTTAAAAGATACAAATGATTAACAAAAACAGTAAATGTCTGTACAGTTTAATAATATCTTCCTTTATTAAAAGAGTGAAAGATCATATGCATATTTAAAAATGTGGGCATTCAAAACTATAAAAAGATATTATGAAAAGGCAGCATTGGATGTTTTGGTGTAAGATTATTATTGCCAGTGTATGGCGTAGCTTAAGTTAACCATAGCAAGTGTAACTAATTGTAATCATGTTCTAAAATGGTTACTTCTAAAATATCACTAAAGAAATAAAAGTTGTGTACATAAAACTTTGTAAAGGAGGTTTGTGAAGTCTCATCGCACTGAATCATGGGGAAACAGAGAGAGAATCCACTTGTTCCACTTGACACAGCAATTAGTCACATAATTAATCCATGTTATGTTTTAGTTATTTGCCTTTAATCGATATAATAACAAGTTCCACAGGGAGCACATTTGCGTGTATTTAGTATTAATGTGCGTAAGGCTAAAGCCATAATTTTTAGGTGTAACTTTCCCTTGATTCTCCGCTGGTGAGCCATCTCCTTCCTCCTGTAGTATCTCTGGTCCTCCCCACAGTCCTGCCGTTGCTACTGAAGTTACCACTAGCAACTGGGCAGCGCCCGGCGGAGCACCTTCAACCGCTGTTCATGTTGTCCTGCTTCATACAGTAGGTAGCACATTTTACTCATATGATGGGTTTTTATCAAGCCAAGTTCAAAGACAGTTAGACGACTTATCTCTAGATATTAACTCTGTAAAGTAGCTTTGTTTATCGGGGGCTTTTTGGGCTCGTTTTGCGACTGGCTAGCTGAACAAGCTAGCTAATGTTAGCTAAGTGTGTGTGGACACTAGCTATCCACCATCACACTCCTATAGACTGTTCAAAGTAGTGGCCACTTCGCACAAGTAAGTGGTATTGTTAAATATAGCTACAGCCAAAGTACTTTTGATCCCAACAGCAGTATTGTGTGCGTTATTACTTTGTTATCTGATTAACAAATGGCAGCAAGGCTAGGTTACTTTCAGTGTTGTCTGTGTGAGAGAAAACCTGGTAAATGTGTTTGTTTGGCTGTTTACAACTCGAGGTGATCCAGTGTGATAAATGCAGACCATATGTTTCTAAAGGTTAACACAGGTAATGCAGGTGCCATTATCAGTCTGTGGTTGTACAGTCATGGCGACAGGCTGCCCCTGCCAGCCAGTATTTTAATGTCACCATCATATCTTCTCCCATACATGTATATTCCCAGTAATATAAATAGACAAACCATGTATAGTCTCTTTTTTACAACCCCATTAGAACTCAGCCAACGAAGAGCTGTTAATGGGTAATTAACCCTCCACCCTACTTCTCAAAAGAGATCATGGTGTAGGCAGGTGCTCCACCATACAAAACCCACTAACAGCACTTTCATAGGCTGAAATTCACACTATAGTTGCATATTCATAACAGTTAGTTTAGAAAGTCAACAAAGGTTGTGTTAGGAGATAAGGAATACAATAATATCACAAGTCATTTTTATATCTATATATCATGTCATTTAGTTGTTGGTGAACTATGCTGTTCTGTGTTCAAGTTGTTGTACATTCACACCACTGAATAAGTGTTTAACCTGGATAGGGTCAAACACACAGACATCCGTGGCTCTACAGAGGTAGAGGTGACGTTGACTTTAGGTGGGTGTGGATCAACTGAGGAATGGCATGTTAACTATGTAGCAGGACACAATGCAAGTAACTATCGGAGACTGCTGATGGGAGAAACTGGTCTACACCTCCATTAGACATGTTTGTCCTGTTTGTTGATACAGTCACTGGAGATAATAGATATTGTGGAAAAAGAGACAAGTTACTGTACTGGTTTTGGTTATCGTATTAATGTGAAATAGATCAATTATCCTATAATGTCTGGTCTTAAATTCAGCATTAACTGCTTTGAATGAAAGTCAATGTGACATATTATTTATCTCCTTTTTATTTTTACAGGTACAATCTTAATTTCCAAAAACAGTCAAGACATGAGAGGAAAGTGAATTGTATGCTCTTGGGATGTTGTTGAGGCTGGCTATGGTTCGCACGTAAGGTCGCACTGAGTGGCACTGCCATGTTGCCAGGAGTCGGTGTATTTGGCACGGGCAGCACAGCCCGAGTGCTGGTACCGCTGTTGAAAGCTGAAGGCTTTGAGGTCCATGCAGTTTGGGGGAAAAGCGAAGAGGAGGCAGGCTGCCTGGCAAAGGAGCTCGGTATCCCGTTCCACACCAGCCGATCTGATGACGTCCTGCTGCACCAAGACGTCGACCTTGTTTGCATCTATATTCCACCCTCAATGACAAGGCAGATTGCTGTCAAAGCACTGGGTAAGAAGTCACGCACTTACTTTTATCATGCTATCCTGTCCAAAAACCTTGGGCATATTTTAAGTTTATAACAAGCACTTTTGCACTTAACACAAGTGCAAAACCTATAAGCATGCAGTCACTCTATCACAAGCCATAATAAATACATACAGGATGGCTGCTGGACATTTTTTATTTTACATACAACGGTTCAAAATGTTTTTGTTTAAGTTAATGATTACAAAAAAAAGGAACTTAGTTTACTTCCTAAACACCAGCTTCAGATCTTATATAACAGTTAAATACTAAAACCATCTACAAATACATACAGTTAATGTGACTTACTTGACCCAGCTGGGCCTGGTGGGTCGGCTCTGGAACAGATTTAACATTTTTGACTGTAATAACAGTACTCTCCGAAAACAAAAAATGGCTGCATTTTTCTGTAACCTATTCCTCAGGGTTTATCCTAGTGATGTGATTAATGACAATCATAGGCGTAACCACAGGGAAAATAGCATTTTGAGGGACGAAAAAGAAAATCCTTATGGAATAAAACCTAACCACATTTTACATCTGTTAGCAGCTCATTGAAGGAAACATAGCAAACACATTTCCTTATCAGAGGAGACTAGATCTATAAAGTTATCTTACTGTATCTGATGGAATTCCTGAGTGTTGACCTCAGCTTCCTGTTTTAGTTGCAACTTCCTGAGTAATTCCCCACCAAAGTATTTATCAACGGCACTACTCCCAAGGCCGCCAATCTCCATATATAAAAGCCATACACACCCTCTGTGCTATCGATGTGGCTGCATGAGAATGTTGAGTTTTTTGTTTATTCATACCAATCTCCAGGAACTAAGGGTTAATAGCATTTAAAGCAATCAACTCCACAGGGTGCCCGAGCACGGACATATCAAGTCCAGCCTACAGCTTAAAATCATATTTATTATACACTCAGTTGCAACTTCAAAATGAACAAATGCAGTTTAGAGAGGCATAGAACAAATCTGATTAGGAACCCTCGTAATCAACACAAAGATCACCAGATTAATTAAAAATAAATTAGTTGTTCAATCTTTTTGTTACTGTTTTTACAATACAACCAAAAAATCATTAAAAAGTTTGTGGGGTGACATGATATTGTATTTTGTTAAAGTAAAATTCTAGTACTCTAATTGCACTCAGTCATTTGATCAGACATAAGTATAAACCCTTCCTGTCTCTCTCTCCCTGCAGGTATAGGTAAGAATGTTCTGTGTGAGAAAGCTGCAACCGCTGTGGATTCCTTCAAGATGGTGACTGCTGCCAGATACTACCCACAGCTGCTCAGCATTATGGGTAATACCCTGCGCTTCCTGCCAGCTTTCGCAGCAATGCGCCAGCTGCTGGTGGAGAGATATGTTGGCGAGATGCAGGTGTGTGATGTGCGTGTGTATGGCCCCAGCCTCCTGGACCAGGCGTACGGCTGGACGTGTGAGGAGCTGATGGGCGGAGGCGGACTGCACACCGTCGGCTCCTCCGTCATTGACCTTTTAAGTTACCTGACGGGTGAACGAGCCCATCGTGTTCATGGCTTATTGCGGACCTTTGTACAACAAAATGGTTTGATCCGAGGCATCCGCCGCGTCACCAGCGATGATTTCTGCTTCTTCCAGATGTTGATGGGTGGAACCGGGTCTCGCTCGGGCGGCGTTTGTTGCACCGTCACCCTGAACTTCAACATGCCGGGGTCATTTGTGCACGAAGTAATGGTAGTCGGATCCACTGGGAGACTGGTTGCCAGGGGGACAGAGCTATATGGCCAGCGCAATGGGAGTAAAAGTGAGGAGCTGTTGCTAGGTGACAGTGGGTGGGTGGGGCCAGAGGTGAAAGAGATGCCCCTGCCTCACCTGCAGGGGCTCAGCTCCATGGTGAAGGCACTGAGAGAGTCTTTTCAGGCTCATGAGGAGCGCAGGTCATGGGCACGAGGACCGGTCGCCATGGCACCGACATTTGAAGATGGTCTGTACGTGCAGACCGTGGTGGAGGCAGTGAAGCGGTCCAGCTGTAGTGGAGAGTGGGAGTGTGTTGAGATCATGAGTCAGGAGCCAGATCCCAATCACAACCTGTGTGAGGCTCTGCAGAGAAATAAGAACTGAATCTATTTATAAACCCAGTGCAACTACTACATGTGTCCGACGGTCGGCCTCTGAATGTTTCTCCTTTCTGTCAGCTGCTGAGGCAGTTTACATGTACCATGACTACTTACATTTTGCATTTTCACATTCTGCCACATTTTGAGCAGAATATTTTTGCTTTAGAAATCAAAGCTGTGGATGTTTGTACCCTCACAGTTATGATTTGTTTTTACACTAAATGTGTTGACCTCAGCTCCATTATTCTGATTCTCAACCGAAAATATTATTATAGCTGTGTCATAATCTACCTGTGCTCCGTTTACATGTTTATTATCTGTACCATGCCAAAAAGTAGACACAGCTTTTAGTATCACTGGAGCCTAAAGTCATGGAGCAATGCCTGAAAAGTTCCCTTTAAATAAGGTTGATATATGTCTCCTGTCGGCAAGGCACCACACCTATGTCAAATATTGGCCAGGAGAAAAAGTCCTTGATAGGCAAAATACAACCTTGCAGTCGACGTCCGACCGTTTGCTTATCCTCACTTTAAGAAGCTTGTGTGGACATATTTCTGTCATTTATGGAACCAGCCGCTTATATGCAGGTTGTATTTTGAGACATCAGACCTTAAGTGGTTTCAGTGTTTCCCAGAGTTATATATTACACTACAAGATAATGGTCTAATGGCTATGTATCAGCACTAACAAAGCTGTTAAGTTGCTGCAACCTAACACGTCTCAGGAGGGATCGCAATTTCGTAGTTTGGCTCAAATTGAAACACAACTTTAAGTACAGTCCAACCGAGAAAACATGTGAATCTTTATTGTACGTATAGATGTATGTTGGTGTTAATTTATTTTCAGCATGAATAGCACATTATTCTGAAAGGAAGTGGGCATGAGGATGATTTGACTAACAAAACTCTTTCAGTGCTTGGTTTCAGTGCTTGCAGTGTGGCGACTGGCACAATTCAAATTATGCTCTTTTCGAGCTCGGCCTCTTTAAAATATAGAATAAGAATAATGGAGCTGTGCACTGTTTATTTTTATTTTTTGGATTGTGTAACAATAAGCATACATTTAAAGAATGAATGAGGGGCTTGTAGGTTTTGATGTTAATATATGTCATGGCATACCTAAAATACCAGGGATTGAGCAAAATAAGCTATGTTAAACTGAACATTAAAAAGTCTAATTTATATAAATCCCCTGCAAAATGTCCGATTCCTAAGGGTAGTCTTAAATCTTTATATCAGATGTCACACATCCTGTCGGTAGAGCAGTTATGGTGAGCTGAAATTATGAACTGCTACGGTGGATTTCAGTAGTGGCATGTTTCATTGAAAGTATACCAACTTCAAACCACTCCATCCATATGTTCAGTATGCTCAGTCATTTAAATATGACTATTTCCAGATACACTACTTGTAATGTTTTATATAAACATCTTCTGGAACAAACGGAACATATGGACAGAGTTGAAGTAGTAGCTGTAGCTCACCTGCTAAAACTCACCACCTATTAATCCATTCAAACTTTCAGTAAGGAAGGAAACTACCACCTTTTAGCCTGTCAAGCATTTATAGGATGAGCATTTGATGCTCAAATGAAAGATTTTAGGTGGAGTAACGCAATGAATCTTAGAATCCTAGAATAAGTAACCTTTTATTGTTATACTGACAAAAGTTTTAGATATTCAAAGACCTAGGATATTTGACAACTAAATTTAGTTTAAAATGTGTGTCAAAAGGTTTGTTTACATGAGATAACAATTGAAGTTATTTTAATGCTTTTTGAAAGATTTTGTTCATGCAATCTATGCATTTTAAGTTATTACAGATGTTTAAATCAAGAGAGAGGAGTCTGCCCTTCATCCGAACACCTTACTGATCTTTTCATTGAGTAGAACCACTGGATCTGATGTGCACAAGAGTGTAAATGTGTGCCTCTCTAAGTTGCTCAGACCAAGCAAAGTTTTTGGTTGTTATAGTCGCTCACTGCATTTCAGTACTGCTGAATAATATTGGGCTCGGCGCTCCTGCTGAGACAGGAGGTGAGGACAGAAACAGGCTGCTGTTTGTTGTATTGGTCTGTTCCTTTCTTAGACCCACGCAGGATCTGCATATAAGGAAACATGCACCTAACACGCTTACCTCACGCTATCCTAACAATGCTTTGTAATTAATCAAGTTTACATTAAGTGTCTTTATAAAACACATCACCTTTTCCCGCAGGATTTTCGACGACCCACCACTATTAAAATACATTCCAACCAAGTTTTCACCTTCTTCTTTTTCTCTTGTTCTTTGCACTGATAACGGATAAAGCTGCCAGATATTTAATATGCTGTGTGGTGCTATTACCAGCCGGCTCACTGCGAAAATGAATTTAACACGTGTCTGTATAAGGAAGTGTTTTTGTATTTATTTATGTCTTGGTGTGGAGAAAGTTTCCCATTGTTTATTTTGTTCAGTGTTTGTGTCTTAAGTATGTGAATTTCTGTTGTAGTATTTATCTTGTTTAGTTTTAGTGTTTAATATGGCTTTTTGAGCACAATTGATGTTGGTAAACTGTACTGTTCATTTGCCTGACAGATACTTCCTTAATAAATACAGTTGTATTCATTTACTGTCTTTGTTCAGAAAGTGTATTAATTATGTAAAGATAACATATACATTTTTTTGTATTGAACCCATACAACACATATTCAAAATATTCAGCAAGTCAAATCTTTGACTCAGTGTTGGTTGTGTTGTATACTGATCTGGCAGTAAGCTTATATTTACTCATTATCACACAAATAAAATGCAATGTGTTACATCATCCCTCCTCCCTCATCTCCATAGAGCATATAGTCACCATCTCTGAATCGGAGCATTGTGCTGCAGTCAAAGGGTTTACAGGATTTGCTTTCTGGAAACAACTTTGAACATTTGATGCAAATAACTAAGCTGTGCCTGTTCTCAAAGTGCAGGTTCAGCTCTAAAAACACATTTTTAAACGACGATTGAACACTATCAATTCAACATCTTGATGTATAGTAAAGCTACGTAGGAACCAAAGGATGCTTGATATATGAGAGTTGACATTTAGTTGTTCAGGACAGGTTCAACCATAAATACAGATTGTAGAAACGTTAAATATGTAAAAACTAGGCTACATCCAACATATCAGAGGTAGGTAAGTGAAATATCCCCACCGTGGTCACAGAGAATGCACTTTAAAATTACATTTTGGAAACAGAGATTGTATTCAAATTCCATTACATTAATGTATTATTGAAATGGGAGAATTATGTGGGCTTGAGTTTAATAGACATTCACAGATCGGTAACTCCTATAGTTGTGTTTGTAACAAAAACTAGCCGACTATCCCCGCCCCGGATATGACTTTAGGACGATGGCAGCAATGCATTGTGGGACAATGTGTAGCAACTAGCAACCCTGATATAAACACAAAAGCTAATAGTCGACATTTTAGTTAAAAAAGACGAATATTTGTACACTATTTCTCAGTCCGATGCCGGGTTAAGAAGCACCGGGGACAGCGGTAGTCACAGTCCGTAAATTAAGCGCTGTTTTGGGATTTTTATCAAACCGTCGACCTTCGAGAAGATGGAATCGAAACAAGTCACTTTCGGTATGCTTGCCTTTAACTCAGATTAAACAACTAAATAATGTCCTTGTTAACGATTGCACACACTGCTGGGAGCACACAACAGCAATTCACATTAGGTAAACAACCAAAGAGGCATCATTATGTTTTTATTTACACCAATGCTTTTCCTCCTGAGACATGTCGAAATGTGGAAAAGCAACTTTGATTTGACTCTACACTCAATTCACTATCATGTGCATCATAAAACGGTTAAAAAGTAAATTAAAACGTGTCTTCTTTTCCAGTCATACACCTTAAATAAAAAGCATGTTCATGATCATTCTAGTGCTGAAATAATTAGTTTGCAATTAATGCAAATGTTCAGTTGCAGCATTAATAACTTTCTGTTTTCCTGTTATTTAGTGGAGCTGGCTTTGGGGGATGCACAACAATACAGCTTCCCCACTGTGAATGGAGCAGTTATTAAAAGCATCCTGGAAATTGCAGATGGAGCTCTGGTGAAACAACAAACTCCTGAAGAGGCGAGTGATGACCTCCCTGTCGAACGTACACAGAAACGGAATAGACGCAGCTTAATTTGGAGGCACTACGATGAGACAGGCAGTTCTTCAACTGTTCGCTGCCGCATTTGCAGCAAGTGGCAGAGCTTTGAAGGCGGCAGCACCAGCAACCTGCATCGGCATATCTCAACGAGACATCCGGAAGTGTCTTCTCAGCTCCGAGCAGACAGACAGCACTTACAGAGCTCACCTGCTTCTGAGGACACATCAACACAACCAAAGACCGCAGGTGAGACAGAGAAGCAGGGAAAGTTATTTGGTAGTGTTTTATAACTCATTGCTGTTTGTGTGTGTAGTTCAGTTAATACACACACCTTCTGATGCTCAAACTTGAACACATCATCAGTGTTGTTTCCTGGAGTCACTGGGTGTTCAGGACAGCCCCTCTTCCAGGCAACCAGGCCGAGGTTGATCAGACCTCAGCCTGCGTTCAAGTGGGCGCTGTGGCTCAGTGGGCTAGTGCGTTGAATTTAGGATCAGGGGAGCACAAGTTCAATCCCCACTGCAGTCAGCATGTCGTTGTATCCTTGGGCAACACACTTCACCCCAAGTCGCTCCTGTGGGGATTGTCCACAGTATGGAGTGTATGTAAGTCGCTTTGGATAAAAGCGTCTAACAGAACACAAAGGGCATGCAGGTTGAAAAAGTTAGTTCATTCTAACTTTTTTTGCCAAATAAGTGAAATATGTCAATATGTTGTTTTTACAAAACATGATATGGTCTGAAGGCGTCACGTTTTTTCTCTTGGAACAGTTATTTAAATAAAATCATATTAAATAGTAATCAGCAATGAAACATTAGTTGCAGTTCTCTTATATAATTGTATTTTCCCTTTTTTTAGTGGACCTGGATCTGGCAGCTGATGAATCTGAAAAATTAGATGAAGCTGGCGTAAATTCTCCTTGTGACATCTACCTGGACCAAGATGCAAGCATAGTGGGTGATATCATCCCTGTAAAAATTGGCGTAAAACGGATTAAACGCAGCTTAATTTGGAGGTACTATGATGAGACGGACAGTTCTTCATCTGCTCGCTGCTGCATTTGCAGAAAGTTGCAGAGCTTTGAAGGCGGCAGCACCGGCAATCTGCATCGGCATATCTCAAAGAGACATCCGGAAGTGTATTCTCAGCTCCTAGCAGACAGGCAGCAGAGCTCACCTGCTGAGGGCACATCAACACAACCAAAGACCGCTGGTGCGACAGAGAAGCGGAGAAAGTTATTTGGTAATGTTTTATAACTCATTGCTGTTTGAGTGTGTAGTTCAGTTAATACACACACCTTCTGATGCACCAACACATCATCAGTGTTGTTTCCTGGAGTCACTGGGTTTTTCGGGTCTTGCAACAGACAGCCCCTCTTCCAGTTATTTAAATAAAATCATATTGTATAGTAACCAGCAATGAAACATTAGTTGCAGTTCTCTTATATAATTGTATTTTCCCTTTTTTAGTGGACTCTGACCTGGATCTGGCAACCGATGAATCTGGCAAATTAGATGAAGCTGGCGGTAATTCTCCTTGTGAAATCTACTTGGACGAAGATGGAGTTGGACACATAGTGAGTGATGACCACCCTGTACAAGTTAGACGGAATAAACGCAGCTTAATTTGGAGGCACTTCGAGCATCTGGACAGTTTAAATGCTGCGCGTTGCCACATCTGCATGAAGAAGATTCAGTGCTCTGACGGCCGCAGCACCAGCAACCTGCATCGGCACCTGTCGAAGAGACACCCAGCGGTGTTTACTCAGCTGCTAGAAGACGACAAGCGGAAATCTCGACCAAACTCATCACGGGGCTCAAATGTTACTGGGGCCACATCGACATTGCCAGCGACACACTGTTCTGGTAATGTTGGTTTTTTAAAGAAGTATATACTTTTGTAGTTTTTACAAATAAACAACAAAACCCACCTCTTCATTTATCAGTAGACTAAGTAATGATAAGTATTGAGTAATATGTTTTGAGGTTAAATGCAACCCTGGTTTTATCTAATCAACATTTGAAAGAATGTTATGCATATCTCTCTGTACCTTTCCTTTATAATCCAACTGTAAAATAAGTAAATATGAAGGTAAAATGTCCAGTTAGAACATGATTTGATTACTTGTGTATTTAACCAACATAAGTACAAGTGTTGTCATTTTCTCAGTAATTGAAGTATCTCAGCATCAAAGTGAGGTAGATACATCTGCTACACTTAAACAGTTTATTAACATTAAACATGTTTGGTTCTATTGTAGCCAAGATGGAAAATATATTGAACACAGCCTTCTCTTTCCCTCTTACAGGTGCATTGGAAGATTCAAGAGCATCAGAGGGAGAAAAGCACATGTTCAAGAGAGAGCAGGAGCTGATAGAAGCTCTGAGGCGAGCGCAGAGACAGGAGGCTCGAGCTCTGGAGGATCAGAGGGAGCTGCTTGAGATGCTGCGGGTGGGGAATGCCAGGGAAGCGGCTGCAGAAAGAGAGGAGATCGAGTCACTAAGGAAAGCACAGCTGGAGGAAGGCAAATACTTGAGTAAACAGAGAGAAGAGCTGAAGAGTGAAAAGCAAGAGCTGCAGAGGCAAAGGGAAGAACTTGTATTGTTGTCAAACAAACCTGGTCCTGCCACCATATAGAATAGAATAGAATAGAATAGGGAGGGATGAAACCCTCTTTAATGTCCGGTGCCTTGCTCAAGGGCACCACGGCAGGGCAGGAGGTGAACTGGGACTGTATGACTGAATTTGTATTTGATTCAAATACCATTAAAAAGAACCCAACCACTGGTCGGTTGTTTTTGTTTCTGTAACACCTGTGTTGCACTGCTTCTTCATCCCTCTGCTACCCATCTGGGGCAGACTCATTTAATTATGTGATCTCCTGATATTATTCTGGCATCAAATGATTCAAAATGTCCAGGACAAACCCCTTCCTCTGAACTCAGCCTGCTTTCACTAATGACTGCAACAAGCCATTTTCAAATGTAAAATGCAGGCAGAGATTGGTTATACATTTGCCGCTCACTCTACATGTCTTCGTTTCAAATCTTTATTTAACCAGGTGGTCCCATTGAGATCATCGATCTCTTTTTCAAGGGAGACCTGCAGCAAGTAGGTTACAACATGAAACATAAAACAACCTGCACCAAGTAGGTTACTTACAACATGAAACTGAAAACAACAGAAAACAATAAAGAACATCATACATTATATTTACAGGGCTACATTTACATACCTATCGGCATTGACAAGTACCAACAGTATCAAATAGCATTGCACCTATCCGAGCTTTAAAAACATGCAGTGGAACCAATTTGCTCAGTTTCAAAACTTTTTGAAGACTGTTCCAAGCAAGAGGAGTTTACCCAACATGGCTTTATATCTGCAGGAAATGATCAGACTTGCTACCAAAATGTATTGTTTTTATCAAGTCTGTTGTAAAAACTTGAACATTGAAGAAATAGATAGTTAAAGAGACACATTTAATTTTGGTTTAACTATTTGTATACTTTTACTGAAGCATCATCTTAGTTCTTACATTCCAGGTATATTTTGATTTGCAAGAAAATATTTTAGATATAATTAGATTTAATTTGAATGACCACGATTATGGATCTAATAATTTAGAGTATTTTGTAACAGATTTTCTTTTGAAGTTGGAAGTTGAAAGTGCCTTCAAAATTGTAATGCTTGTTATCTTTCTCTCCTGAGTGACTTTGGAATTGTTCCTGGTAATACAAGTTGCAGATACATAATTATTTGTTATGCGGCCAGTACAAAATGAAACTCTATTCACCTCCAGTGTATTGGATGAATTCACACTTTAAAATATACCCACTTCTATATACTGCCTTTGAATGACAGGGATAATCTTTAAGAACACTAACGTACAGCGCATGCGTAGTAGGATAATATTTCAACCCAGAATTTGACTTCTCAGGTAGTGCTTCTGTTCTGCCTCCACACGCTCCACCGTTAACGCATGGTAAAAACGAGTGCTCAAATTAGAGAAGGTAACGCAACATTTTACAGTCATGCTTAATCAAATTTCAAAATGGAGCATTCAGCGTTACTCCTCGGTATCCGACATTACACAGCGAAGACTCTCTGCCTGACAGGCTAGTTCCAGGGAGTACCTTAACACAGTGACGTTAGGTCCTGTCCTGTATTTGTGGCGGAAGATGGCTGACAGCGGAGTCTTGGCAGCGAGAAGATCCGACTCTGGCTCTCTGTCCTCGGTCAGTATGGAGACCATCTCAGCGCTGACGGAACTGGAGGACCTGGAGAGAGTTTACCGGCAGCTCTGCACGGAGGAGGTTCGTATATAAATCACTTTTAAAAGGCTGTTAGTGTACTGTCACTGGCTTCCTCCACGTAAACTTCCGGTGGGAGCTGCTGGCTCAAAACAAAACCTCCACGTTGTTAAATTATGGATAAATAAACAATAAACATTAAACAATTAAGCTAATGACTTGAGCAGCTAGGACTACAGTTTAATATTTTTCTAAGCTGACTGGTCTGAGTTAACAGTGGGAAAATGCCTTTAAATCTGTCTTTGTTATATTATTTACAAGGATCCCAACATTACACTATATCAAATTAAAATGCACAAAGGCTTTTCATATAATATCAACATCATAGTTTTGGCCATGACATACCAGGCTACTACTTAACATAAAAAGAAAAAAAGGCAGCAGAAATAAAGGTGCAATTTGCAGGAATAAGAAAATGATACATGTATAATGAAATACCATAGGGCTACAGTAAAATTAAAATACTGGGTATTGTAATAATATATAATAATACATAACATGTAGGCATTGGCAATTGTTTCTAAACAAATGCAGTCCAGCACACTGCTCATTATGTTATTTTGTTGTCTTATGTCCTTTATGTAATATGTTGCACTGATGGAGGAGCTCGGGACCTAAGATTTTCATTGCCATAACTACACTGTAGCCACTGTGCACATGATAATAAAACCCCTTGAATCTTGAATCTTGAATTACATGTTGTGTTTCCTCCTCTGATACAGAAAGAAGTGGAGTCTGAGCTGGACAGACTGGTAGGGCAGGAGGGGAGTATTCACACAAAGATGCTGGCCCTGCAGAGGATGGGGTAACGTTTATAAAGATTAACTGATGATTAACATTGAGTTACAACCTATGGTTACAACCACCAGAGTCTATGTTCTTTAAGCAAGAATCTTTCATGTTGTGCTAAATGTTGTCTCTGTTCTCCACAGGCCCAACCTACAGCTGATTGAAGGAGACGCCAGTCAGCTGTCAGGCATGATCACATTCACCTGCAGCCTGGCTGAAAACGTCAGCAGCAAAGTCAGACAGCTAGACCTGGCAAAGGTAAAGACCCACACTTTTCACATCCTAAAATACAGTATCATTTCCACACTGATAGAAATATAATGTGGTCAATCCACATAAACCCATAAAATAGTTTTATGGGTCCATACTATTGTTGATAACATGGATGTAGACACAATATCAAAAATACCCTCACAAAATGTTTAACTGCTGCTGATAGTCAGATCACAAACTGATTTATTATTGTATCTTCTTTTATTTGTGTAGACACGGCTGTATAACGTCATCCAGCGTGCCGATGATATCCTGGATCTGAAGTTCTGCACAGACGGCGTGCAGACAGCGCTCCGTAATGAAGATTTTGAGCAGGCTGCTGCCCACATCCACAGATACCTCTCTCTGGACCAGTCAGTTATAGAGCTGAGTCGGCAGGGAGACGAAAGTAAGAAGCCTCAAGACAATTTCTCTTTTATAGTATACACTGTAGTGGAGAAGTAACGTAACCTTTTTATGTCTCATCATTTTTTACATAGAATTGTTCAGATCTATAGTATTGTAGTTATTCATAAAAACATTTCTCCAACACTGTGATCTTGTCTCTGCAGGCAGTGCTGTGGATGCCAGTCTCGTAATGCTGCAGGAGGCCGAGCAGAAGCTGAAGGTCATCGTTGCTGAGAAGCTGGATGAAGCTGTCGCAGCTGTCGACCTCGCACAGGTGGAAAGGTTCTTCAAGATCTTCCCTCTGTTGGGCCTCCACCAGCAGGGCCTCGCCCGCTTTGGCCAATATCTCTGCAGTCAGGTCAGTTGTTACTTCCTATTAAGTACTTTGGTAAATCCTATGTACTCCTAATTGTTTGCTTGTATACAACTAATACATTCCTGATCCTGATTTAACCTCTATTATATTATGTTAAAGAGTATCAGCTAAATACTTAAATCAGTATAAGGTCCCAACCCTGTAGGTATATGTGGATAATGTCCTGCTGCCGAAACAAAAAGAGTAAGCACTGTAAGTAAATCTGATGTTATATGATTGTTAGGAACAGTCATTAATTAATTAGTTGTTCGTATGTGATTGTGAATATAGATCCTGTTGTTTTTTTCATTGATTTTTCAGTTTTACGGATAATTTCAAAGCAAATATTGTCTTTTTAATAATAAAAGATTTAAAATGATAAAAAATGTATAAATAATTGTACATGATTCAAAACATCAACACAAACAAGTGTTCTTGGGCAAGATCAGCTAAAGGAAATGTAGAGTAAATGAATGGCTTTTTCCAGTTTAGAAGACATACCCTGCAAAGCCATGTTTGTGTTTTTGTTCATTCACAGCTAAGTTATGTCTCTTTGTTTCACACACATATTGTCACAGCTTGCCTCTAAAGCTGAAGAGAACCTGCTCTTGGCCACAGGAGGAGAACTGGGGGAGAAGAGAGCATCGCTGGTGTTTGCAGACACTCTGACGCTGCTGCTGGAGGGTGAGGAAACACGCCTGATGCTCTGTGTGAGTGTGTGTGTGTGTGTTTCCTGGACTCCTCTCATGTTTGAATGTGTGTTTGCAGGTATTGCCCGTGTGGTTGAGACTCATCAGCCCATAGTGGAGACGTATTACGGTCCAGGCCATCTGTACACACTCATCACTCACCTGCAGCAGGAATGTGACCGACAAGCTCAGAAAATAGTCGACAAGTTCATCCAGCAGAGAGGATACCACAACAAGGTGAGCGTGTCCTCTGAACGGCGTGATGGGAGTGTTTTCCTGCAGAGCCGTACCCACTGTGAGCTTGTTTCCCTCCTTTAGTTTCAGGTCGTCCAGAACAGCATGATGAAGAGCGTGCCGGGAGAGACGCTCGAACCCAGGTAGGTTCAGCAACATCCTCTCAAGTCAGATATAACAAAACACACTAATAAGAACCACTGCTCATATCGATCAAACTTTATAAAACTGTGAACTGAAGTATTTTATGCATTTATACCTGTCAGCAAGCAGCTCTTTTTGAAATAACGTAATTGATAATTGTATTTAAGTATAAAGCTTCTTATAAATAGCGTTGGTTAACCAAACTAGATTTTTCTCTATGGTAGCTTTGCTGTAGTTCAATTTATTTCCAGTGTGAAGTACTTGGTGCTTGCAGAGCTATGACTTCAAAGTTGCCTCCCTAACACATTGTATTTATACGTCTCTCTCACATGGACAGGGAGCTGGACCCTGTGCTGGCTGAAGTAACTCTGATGAACGCCAGGGCGGAGCTCTACCTGCGCTTTTTACGCCGCCGCTTGCTGGCCGACTTCGAAGTTGGGGATGTTCAGAGCGTCACACAGGGTACACGTTGTAATGCATGCACAGATGTTTCTTTTTTTAAACGTGGAGCTTAAAAGCCATTCATCTGAACTCTAAAATATAATTTTGTGTACATTTTGAACTCCCAGAGCATCAGCAGAACGTGGAGAAGCTGCTGAAACACTGCATGCTGAGCCGGACCATGCAGGAGCTGATTGGCTACTATATCCCAATGGAAGAGTACTACATGAGGGAGACTGTCAACAAGGTAAATGACCACGTCTCATACAGTCTCTGACAACTATATTGATTCTTTAACAATGATACAATATTAGCCGGTATCTGTGTTTTCACTTTGCATTAATAATATAGGATTGATGTTTGTTGTACCCATAGCACACCTGAATCTTTGCATTTTGGGTAATGTAGGCTAGGCACCAGAAATTGACAAGGAAGAATGATGTGTGACATAAAAATGGATAACGTTGCTGCTGCATGCTTCTGATTATTTTAGATAAACGCAAACTTATTTTGGTAGCGAATTATATGTAACATATTTTCCTCGTAGATGTGAGATTGATCAGATCCAAATGGTTTAATAAATAGCAATCTCAACCTTGATGACCTTTTTTTAGGAACATATTTGAATAAGATAACATGTTATGAAATTGTTATCTATGGTATGATAGTTAATTAAGTGTTCGACATTTAAAAAAAATGAATGCAAGGGTTTTTCATTCAGTAAATGCAATATCTTTCTGATCAGAGCGACTTAAATGAACTTGAAATAAAATGAATTTTCCTCCTCAGGCTGTGACTATGGATTCGTATGAAAAGGGCCAGCTGACATCCAGCATGGTGGACGACTGTTTCTACATCGTGAAGAAGTGCATCAGTCGAGCTTTATCCAGCTCCAGCATCGACTGCCTCTGCGCCATGATCAACCACGCCAACTCCGTGCTGGAGTCGGACTTCAGGTGCTCTCCCTCTCAATTACTGATGACTTATCTAACACTCTCTCTCTGTTGTTATTTTACAAGCCTCGTACATGTCTGTGATCCTCCTGCCCGTGTTTCAGGGAGGTTTTGTATAACAAGCTGCGGCAGGGCTTCCCGGCCACGACGCTTCAGGACATCCAGCGAGGCGTCAGCAGTGCGGTCAGCCTGATGCAGAGCAGCTTACAGCAGGGGAAGTTCAACACCATGGGCATCGAGAGCGCTGAAAACGCCAAGGCTGCATTTCTGGTGAGACCAACAGCAGGGTGTCCGCGGGGTCTTAAAAAGTATTAAAAGTTGATGAATCAATTTAGCGAAAATTAAGGCTATTAAAAAGTATTAAACGGCATTTTCCAAGGTATTAAATGTTGTAGCTTGTTTTCAATAAGTATATCAATTGTCCAAAGAGGTTGTATTTTAAAGTCTGCCTGAATGTAATCATTGCGTAGGTGTGTAGTGTGATTCTGTGTAGTTTATTTATGGCATCCCGTTGGATTTGACGTCATCTGAACAGGACATCGCACGCTCACTGCTTGATAGCGCGCAAAGGTCCGTTTACGCCGGTTGTTAAACAACATCGTTATGGGGAAATGCAAGTCTGCGTCCAAATGGTTGGAAGATAAGGAGGAAGGACCAATCAAGGATCAATACTGTATATAGTTAATGTGAGGTAAAGTGTGTCGCCAATGTAACCGGTTAGAACTTGAAGTGGCGATGAGGTCTTAAAATGTATGGAAAGGGTCTTAAAGGGTATTGCATTTGACTTCAGGATTCCTGCATATACCCTGAACAGAAAACACAAACATATACGCTAGGTTGTGCACAAGGCTGGGTTACATTTGCTGGAGCAACAGCTCGTCCCCCCCTCTTGTGAAACACAACATGACCATCAGTGGTGGATAGTAACTTAGTATATTTACTTTACTTGAGGTTTAGATGTGCTTTACTCAAGTATTATCATTTCTAACTTCTTTATACTTCTGCACCTCAACAATTCTGAAGCAGGTCATTTTTTGAATACATTTATTAAACAGCTTTTAACAATTAAAAACCAATCATGTATAATTATAGGTAAAGATAAAACCTTATTGGTGTAACTCACAGGCTATCCTGCAGTAATGGTAACAAAAAAGCTCCTTCTTTAGCAGCTGCTACATCAAAGAGATTAAAACATGAATGAATCAGTAATTAATACAATGACATATATATTATCCTGAAAGGGGCTGTTGTGCATGATGAGTACCTTTTTTCATTCTTGGCACTATCAAACTATTTTGGTGCTTATACTTTTGTACAGTACTACACTGTGGTATTTCTACTTCTACTTTAATAAAGTAGTACTTCGTTACCCCCTGGTTAGCATGTCTTCTCAGGCCAAACACATGTTAGCTTCTTTAGCTTGTGACATGAGCTGCTGGCTGTGTTATTGGAGATGTGTTCTTTAGTCAACACACAGATGTAAATGATAGTTGCTTTTTTATTCACTATGAGTTGATACCTTGGTATGTTCAAATTTGATGAGACATCAAAAAAAGAGAAAGAGCTAAGGGGGAGTTAAGCTGGGGGTAGGTGGAGAATTATGATGTCAAGCAACCATTTCCTACATAATTAATTTAATGGCAAGTATGCCTTTTTTCTCAGCAGCATAATTATTTTCAGTCAGAATGATGTTAATAACTAACCAAAAGTGAACATTTGAATCAATGGTAAATAGGCACTATTTTAAATGTGTGAGTAGAGTTTGGATGAGGTTGCCCTTTGTTCTGGTCAGAGCGACAGCCCCTTAAATTGTCTCTGCAGTAATTTAGCTGAGGAATACATGCATGAATAAGCTCCTAATTTAAGTGTGGTGAGTAGTGTTTTAATATTTAAAATGGCTCTTAGCCGAAGGAAGCACTACTTCAAAAACCTTTTAAACTGTTTGTCAAAAGATGAAATGGAATCAAGAAACACTTCATAGCTACCAGTTGATTTTGAAGAGAAAGGATGACGGACTAGCCTTGATCCTTTTCTGTCTCTTTTTGTCTTTTTCTCCGTCAGGTGACTCTGAATAACGTAGAGGTCTGTAGTGACAACATCACCACTTTAAAGAGAAACCTTGAGGTAAGTTTCCCACAAACACCATGCATGTCTGATTCTCCATCCTGTCCTCTATAGTTGACTCATTCCTCTGAGATGTACTTGTTTTCGCTTTGCCTCGCAGAACGACTGCTCCAAGTTGTTCAATCAGGTTCCCGGCTCCGGGGACCAGGCTAAGATTGAAAGCTGTTTGTCCGACCTCGTCAACACATCCGCCAAATTCAAGGATCTCTTACAGGTTGGACACACACACACACACACACACACACACACATACACATACACATACACATACACATACACATACACACACACAGTAGGACAACATGTTAACTTTTAAAAGACATACACAAGTTGTACTATGCAAAAAACGAAATCCCCTTTCACACATGCCCTGCAAACCTGAAATTACCCAGGAGGAGCTGTGAGAATACCAATGTCCACATTTCTTCTGGATTATGTCTGTCAGCTACTAGTTGTGTATTTATTTATATACATTGAAGGGAACACTTACATCAGTGTGTTTTTAAATGATGAGTTTGACAGGCTAGTGTCCACAGCGAGGAAAACTATGTCAGCAGACATTGATCTTAAAGAGGCCCTATTTTGCTTTTTGGGTGTTCCCTTTCCTGATGTGTTTTATATAGGTTTTTGTGCATGAAAATGGTCTGCAATGGCAGACTAAAGTTTCTCCCCCACCCCCTGCTTGAAACCCCTCCATTATACATACAACATAATGACATCACTGTGTAAGCGCTTCTACTGGCTAGAGCTCCAACAAAGTTGACTTGATAGGCTAAGGGGCGGGACATCTATAGGAGTTGACAAATCACAACAGAGCCATCCAGCTAACCAATCAGAGCAGACTGGGCTCTGGTTTCAGACAGAGGGTGAAAAGAGGTGCTGCAGCACAGGCAGTTTGAGAGAAATAGAGCTTTTTGAACATTAAAGCATGGAAACATGTCACAGCAGAGGTGAGAAATAAAAATATGAACCTGAGTATGATATGTCCTCTTGAAGTCTTGTACTGAAGTGTTATTATCATAAACTAAAAGTATTCTCTAATCATTTCTAAGTTTTTCTAGATCTAATAATCCAAATCTTTAAATTTGTATTTGTTTATTAATTGTATTACTTGATTCAAATGTATTTCATGTTTTGTGTTTTAGCTTTAATAGATAGCTACTAAAAAAACAACTGGTGTCGTGTTTCTGAGTGTCTCAGTGAAGGATTACTCATCTTTCTGAGGATATTTGAAATTCAAAGCTATTACTGCCCGCTTGTACTAAACTAGAAGTTCTATAAAGCCTCTTTGTGGTAAAAGCTTCAGACTCTGATGAGATCTTTCTTTCACAGGAGGGCCTGACCGAGTTGAACACAACAGCCATAAAGTCTCAGGTGAAACCGTGGATCAGCAGCTTCCTGTCCATCTCTCACAACATCGAGGAGGTAACAGTCTCAGAGCAGAGAACAGGAATAAACCAGAGGGCATAAAGCATGTTGCAGTAACAGCTGGTGTCTTCACAGGAGGAGTTTAATGATTATGAAGCTAATGATCCCTGGGTGCAGCAGCTCATCGTCAACCTGGAGCAGCTCATGGCAGAGTTCAAGGTACCTCGTCTGAGCAGCATTTCAGCCATGACATATATACGTCTCCCTGCTTATGTTTTAAAGGGCCAGTTCAGGCCAACATGAAAATAACACATGTAAGCTCTTACCTGCAGTGCTATTCATCAATCTAGTGTGAGTTTTGAGATGTCTGCCTTCTCTCTGAGTATAACAGAACTCGATGGCATTCAACTTTTGGTGCTCAAAGCACAGAAAAAAAATACATTTTAAAATCTCAACAGCAGAGTCTCTTACCAGAAATAATATACCGTTTTTGAAGATGATCCACAGTCCTTGATCTGAGCAGTTTTATGTAGAAACTATCCTCTTTCTATTGTATAACCGCACAAAAGGAAGCCAGCTTACTTAACATTTAAGGCATTAATGTTTACATCTTGCAGGAAGTTGAGTGTATTATCTGTATTAATCGGGTCATGATGACTGAAAAGAGAAATAGCTTTTTCAAAGGTGTTTTTCTTTTAGGCACAACAAGGTGAGTGGAATGCAGGTCAAATATATATTCGGCACGAGGCAGACATCTATATAAGACCGATATCTTAAGTCATCTGCAACTACACAAACACAATGTAGATTTATAAATATAAAGAGAGAGAATAGGTTTGTATATGTTGATTTTTGGGTTGAACTGTTTCTTTATCCTCTCTCTCTCCTCTCCAGACGGCCATGTCTGCTGTGATCTACGACACTCTGACCAGCCTGATGACCAGCTTGATATCTATAGAAATGGAGAAGACCGTCCTCAAATGCTCGTTCAGCAGGGTGAGTAGCCGGGCTCGGCCACAAGGTGGCGGCGAGCCTCCTCTGCAGCATATTGCATCACATCCCTGCCACATGTGACGAAAAGCCTCAAGCTATGATTTATTAATGAGTGCAGAGAGGCCTGCAGCAGAGGGCGCCTCCTTTTGTCACGAAAACATCTTCCTATTTAGAGCAGAGTGTTTTACAGGGGAGCTCTAAATAAATGTGTACACGTTGTTCAAACATAAAGTCCATCCACTGTTTCTGGTTCTTCTGTTGTAGCTCGGAGGGCTGCAGTTCGACAAAGAGCTTCGGTCTCTGGTGGCGTACCTCACCACCGTCACCACCTGGACCATCAGGGATAAGTTCGCTCGCCTCACACAAATGGCCACCATCCTAAACCTGGAGCGGGTAATTTAGATCATCTCACACACAGTGCACGTCAATATATACATCAATATAATGGATCATGTAATGTTTATGTCCATTTACACCCCATAGTGGAATGTACCCTAGTACATATACACAAGTAAAATTGATATTAGAGTTTCTTGTTTTTGAGTATTTCCATTGTATGCTCCTTAATGCTTGCTACTACTGTGGAAAGGTTTATTCAACCACATTTATCTGACAGATGTATTTGCTAGTTACTTTACACATGGGGATTTAATATACAGAACATATCATGGTTTTATGAAATATGAAGCATTGCCATAATGAGTTCAAAATGTTTTATGTGGCTCTTTTCTTTAGTCATTGTCACTTTAAATCAGGCCCATATCCTTTGCTAGAAAAACTGCTCCTTAATAAATGAATACAGGGAACTGGTAACCACACATTATTGCATTAATAATAATAATAATAATAATAACTTGGTAAAATAATTTATGACAGCTATAACACTCACAGGAGTTCTGTATTAAATACATTAAAATACATTTAGCTAAAGATTCTTGTTTTCTCAGAACCTTAAGTAAAGGTGTGAACACTGTTTCCTGGTTTACTCATATGTGTGTATTTGTGCTGCAGGTAACTGAGATCCTGGATTACTGGGGGGCGAACTCGGGCCCCCTGACGTGGCGGCTGACCCCGGCGGAGGTGCGTCAGGTTCTCGCGCTGCGTATCGACTTCAGAAGTGAAGACATCAAGAGGCTGCGGCTGTAACTCATTCACCAGCTGGTTAGCAGGGATCATCCTAAAACACCAACCTTGTGATGTTGGCAAAAAGACAAGGAATACATTTTTGTCTGAATGAAAGATTATCATACTGGATATTTCAGGCAGGTTTTCAGGCTCCGTCTTCTCCTGCAGGCCGGCTCATGTCAGTCTGAACCAGAGTTACTGCCCGGATTGTAGATGTATGTTTTGTGGTTAAGGCGAGACACTAAAGGCAAAAATATAGTTTTTTCATGCACCGGTTTTGGGTTTTTTGATTTCATAACATGTTTTCTTTCTACGTACAAAATACACATTAAGTTATTTCATGTTGACTAATTAAGCTTGTAGATTTGTATATCATATTCATATTCTGATGTAAATGGGTTGTTAATTTTCATTTTATTCTTAAAAACATTGCAATTCTTTTTGTATGGCTGTTGACAGAAATGTAAAGTTTCCCTTGTAAATACACTTAAATATTTCAAATAAAATAATAAGACGTGTAACTGGCTTCATTGAACGTTTTATATGAGATTGCTGTTTCTGGAAATGTTTGAAAATGATAATTGTTTTACCCTGTTCACCAGTAGTATCCCTTAGCATGGGCAGAGTTGGTGGATTATTCAACATGAAAGATGAGTAATACATGTGAATCTTCTCCTCAAAGTGTAATTAAAAGGTGTAAATGTGTCACACGGGGACTTCCACCGTCCCGACCTGTAGCCGGCTGAGAATAGAGGCACTCTGGGACGAGGCTCCGTCAGTGGAACAGAGCAGTAATGAACATCAGGCCAAGTGACAGAAGCAGGTCACAACGCTGATCCACTCGTTCAATATATGAATAGCTCCTCGGCTGTGATGATGGAACACTTTTAACCTAATAAATCGAGAGCGGCACTGATCCTCGGCATCAGCCACATTTCACGCAGCGCTGCCCTGTGGCCATGGAAGTCCTGTTCCCAAGCCTTTACATATTACTGACACTCAACACACAAAGCTGTGTTCACTGGGCAGTGAAGCATTAAAAGTGGACTGTTCTCATAATGTTCAGCCTAATTTCACGGTCTAACCTTGTTTCCTTGCTCAGATTAAATCAGGTCAGTGTGTGTTTAAATGTTTCTGTGAACAGTGCAGTTTTTCAGCAACCCTCTTCAGTGGTGGAAAGTCAATTTACTTGAGTACAAGGAGTGATAGATTTTTTTTAACCATCGTGTGATGCTTAAAAATAATGTTCCCTGCCCAAAGCTTACAAAACATTGAGAAAAACCAGGAAAGCAAAACACTCAAAAATGTATATTAAAGAAGTAAAGCTGAAGACACTGAGGCAGACAATTAATAAGCATTAAAAAACATTTATTTATGACATCAGTGCACAATAATGTTTCTGGATTTTAAACTGACATTTAATATAGATATTCTTAGTTCATCATAATAAAGACAATACAGAAGAAAATATTTTGGATTGTCAATCTTTTCAAATGTTCACAACCTGTGTTTTAAAATCTGCTCATTTTGAGGGCCAGATGAAGGGTCTGTTCAGTTCAACGTGCAGCTAAAGACCACTGACTCCTTTATGGTATTGCTAAAACTTAAGATTTAGAGCGATAAATGTGCCTGAGTATTATTTTATTTAATGTCTATTTCTTTCAGTTTTCCTTTGTCTACCTCCCCAAAGCACCACACATAAAAGTGCAATTAATTTGCCATAAAAAACAGATACAACTATAAAAAAACTAAGTAAAAGATGAATTTTACAACAAGTTATTACCAAAAGTGATGTGAGCATAATCATTACCATCCAGTTATATAGTATCATTATGAAATGGGCCTTTCGTGAAGAATGATTATTTTTACTTTCGGTACTATATTTTGATCCTATCCTGTAGTTTTAAGTAAGATTTTGAAGGCGTGACTTATAACTTTTACATTACACTGAAATAATAATGCTACTTTCAGAGTTCTTCTCCACCTCTTTTCCTCCGTCAGTGTAATGAGACTCGAACACAAGCAGCAGGAGTCGTTAGGAAAAGTGTGGCTTTAATGTAAACACAACATTCGATTGGCTCAGCACAAACATTCCACATGAGAGCAACCAATAAACTACCAAATAGGATGGGGGGTGCAGCACAAAAACATTCACAGTAAAAAAAAAATCTGGTATAATCATAATATATATACAGTACGGTGCTTTTAAGGTGAAAATGGAGATAGGATATGGGGACTGATATGTGATAGATAAAGAGTATACGGGGGTGGGGAGATAAACTTCTGGGTGCACAGGTAAAAATGGAGAGCTGTACTTTTCTCTGTGTAAAGAGAAATGTGACAGACAGGGTGGGGGGAGGGGTGGTGGTGGTGGTGGTGGTTGTTCCCTGCTTACTGATCAGGGGAGACGAGCTTTGGGGAAAACTCGGAGCTCCCCCCCGACAGAGGCTTCCTCAAATGATATTGTTCTCGTGCAGTCTTCTACTTCTACACAGATTCACATCGAGGGGTAAAGCACCACACGGAGAACAAGATGTCATTGGAAGGCTGCTTTCTACCCTCCGAACAGGTGGCGTGTACCCCAGTTTCTCATGTCAGGAAATAAATATGTGGCACGGGATTTCAGTAGGTAGGAGGAGGCATGTAGGGCATGAGGCTAAAATAAATAAATCATTCGATGATAATAATCTGCGATAGTGTGATTTCATTTTCCTAAACTGTCCTTCTCAGATGGTTGGCACCGATATGAGGATTTTAAAATTTATTTTTTAAAGATATCATTGGCTGGATTCCTCACGCTACAGGAGGCCAATGGAAATGGGCCGCCACTCTGAAGAGAAGAATCCTCTCTTTCATTATGTTTAAGAATAAAAAGAGAAAACAGAGAGTGGAAAAGACCTGCAGGCGACTCAGTCATGTGTGGGTCGTAAGGAGAGGGGAGCTTTGTCCCGTCTGAAAGTTAAAATAGCCTCCTTCCCCACCATGACCCTCAGCCACGAGTACAGCACCTCCCCAACTTCATCAACATCATCTCCACCTTCAAACACACAGCAGCTCTTCAAACGCAGCACAACAGGCTAAATTCAGGACAGATATCAATGCCTTCAGACTTCTACATCAAAACATTACATTAAGAAAGGGACAATAAGTCCACGCTGTGTTTAAAAATGACATTGCACACTCTGAGTTCTGCAAAATCGAGGCTCTAGCTGAATACAACCCTGGTGCCGCCCCCTTCTGATCCTCCCTGGTTGTTGACACGGTCATCAACGAAACATGAAACATTCAGCTCAAAAACACAATTTTTTAAAAAGACAAAACTGGGGTTGTATATTGAAATCAAAATGAGAGGGAGGGAACAAATCATGGCGATAATCCGGTGTGGTGTCGGACGGCAGCTCTTTGGGTCCATTTGGACGTGTAGAATTACATATTTATGTGTTTTAAGTATCATCAAAATTATCATTATTAACACCTCATACTCCCCATGACAACCCCTGTGCTTGGCCAGGCCTCAGTATAAGCCACACCCTCTAAGGTTGTTTGCAATAATGATGTCAGTGACGGCATCAAACACTACCTGGATGTTTCCTGTGTCTGTGGCACAGGTCAGGTGACAGTAGATCTCCTTGTTGGGGGAGCGGTTCTTACTCTCAAACTGAACCTGAATATATGCAGTAGCATCGTCGTAAGTATTAGCACCTGCAGACAGAGAGAGGGGAAAGCATGAAGGAACAACATTCAACACTATTTGCTTGTACATCTCTCCTGGAAAATTGACCAGCAAGAATTAAACTAATAATTGGTGAAACAGTAGTCGTAATCAGTTCATCTTTTAAGTAAAATAGATGAATTTGCTGTTTTCAGTCGCTCAAATGTTAAGATTTCTGTCTTGTATCTGTGAATTATCTAATTAAACTGAATATCTTTGAGATTTGGACTGACTAAAGTCATTGAAAGACATCACCATGGACTTTAAGGAACTGGGATAGACGTTTTATTTTATGGATCAAACGTTTAATTTAAAATGAAAATGATACTTATTTGTGTAGCTCTGCTTGAAACCAAAGCTCACCTGTGTATTCTGGAAAACAGATCGTCAGCGGTGACTTCTTGATCTTATCACCAAACAGATCCTTCTTGTTGAGGAAGAGGATGATGGAGGTGTCGATGAAGAACTTGTTGTTACAGATGGAGTCAAAGAGCATGAGCGACTCATGCATGCGGTTCTGTGGGAACAATCAATATGTGGTTGTTGTGAGGAGGAGAATAAAAGCACAGATAAAACGACATCACGTTGTAAACAACAGCTGTTTACTTAATGTGTAACTGATGAATACCAAACCTTTCTTTTTTTTAATTAGCCACGTTTTTTCTATTGTGATCTAAGACATTTTCAACAGGAGAGACCTGTCCAAGAATAGCACAACACGGATTCAACAATTATCAAATAAGACATAAGAACAATAGTTATACGCTTTTTTCAGTCTTTAGATTCATGTAGAAGTTGCAGGAAAACCCTCAAACCTGTCCTTCCTAGTTCATTTCTATGGAAAACAATTTGATCGTTACAAATGCACCTTTTTTATTGAATATTACAAAAAGAAAAAACATGTTTTGGTTTTATAAAAAATGGTCCTGAAATAGGATCCGTCTACTGTTGCTGTGACAGGGTTTCCCCTCTCAGGGACATTTGCTCTATTCACATCAAGGCTCTCTTTCACATCAAAGACAGGACACATCTAAAAGTGTTGTACAGTTCCCAAAGCCCCTGGAGACTAATCAGATATTCAAATGTGAACTTATGAACCGACTTGGGTGCAGAGCGAAACACTGAAATCTGTGAATTAAGAGAATGTATTGGCGTTTTCAATCTGTAACAATAAACATTTAAGATATATTTTCAGGCATATGTCTTTTGTAGACATTAAACAATTAAGTTCCTTTAAAAGGAAGACTTCAATATTCTCTTTTGGTTTGTAGAAAGTAAGAAGATGCAGAAAGAACTGCTATGTTCAAGAAAAGCTTTCCTGAATTATTGATGCTGTATGCAAATGCCTTCTCTATTTGCAAGTTGTTTAAAAATGCATCGTTTTGAAGACGAGTACAAAATAGTTTTATGAAAATGAAAGCTGGAAATAATAACATTTAGCTTTGTAATTGTTATGCTAATGAGGTCTAAAGTTAGGATGTCAATGCATCAAAGGTCCCCGTCCAGAAAACATCCTAGTGATTTCTATATTTTATGAATCCTAAAACCAGAACACTTAAATATCAGTTAAAGGCCCACAGTGCTCCACAGGGATCCGCTGAATGAGTCACACTTACAGTTGTTTCATCTTCATGGAGCACCTGGTCGTATCCACTCAGAGCAACGCAGAAGATAATGGCGGTCACGTCTTCAAAGCAGTGGATCCACTTCTTCCTCTCTGACCTCTGACCCCCCACGTCAAACAGCCTGGAAACAAGAGCAAGAAGTCAATTCAGACCTCAGAGCTGTAATCCCTGAACCGAATCATGC